AGGAAGGGAGGGTGAATGGGTGGGGTGGGGGGCGATGTTGCGTGTGGAGGGGGGGACGGCAGGTGGCGGTGTGGTGTGTAGCGTGAGGGGATAGCCATGGCGGGGCAGGAGGCAAAGGGCCGGCCACCCCCCCGGCATCGCGGCGCCACGCCCCGCCGCCTCCACCGCCTCCACACGCCGCCAAGGGCCCCACCCCACCTCGTTGTAGATCTCCATCATGGAGAGGCGCAGCAAAAACTCCTTGCCGGGGGTGCGCGTGATGGTGCGGAACACCTCGGCGATGGCGTGCGGCACGATGCCCGGCACCTGCTCCGTCCCCATCATCGTGTGCGTCTTGCCGCTGCTCGTCACGCCGTCTGCGCAGCGGCGGCGAGGGAGGCGGGGAGGCGACGGCGCGGTCGGCGGCTGCGGCGGCGGCGCGGTGCACCTGCCGCGCGCCCGCTGAGCCGCCGCCCAGCCGCCCAGCGAGCTGCGGCGGCCCCTCCCCACCACCACCACCGCAGCTGCTGCGGCAGGACGCAGCGCGGGCAGCACAAACGGGGCAGCGGGCGGGCGCGGCGCACATGCAAAGATGGTTCCGTTGATGCCGTCCAGCGCCGACTGCACGATGGGGGAGGCCACGGTCTTGTACACGGCTCGGTTGTCGGTCAGCGGCTCAAACACGTGGTCGTACAGGAACTTGACCTGTGGGGAGGGAGGGAGGGAGGCGGGCGGGCGCCGCGCTGGTGTTCCTCGTTCCGCGGCTCGGCTGCGTGCGCCTGGGTGGCACATGCACGTGCGGTTGCAGGGGCCCGAGCAAGGGAGCCAGGCGGGCGGCGCATGGGAACAGCAGCGGGTGCGGCGCAGCGCGGCTGTCTGCGCCTGCCCGCCGCGGGCTGTGCGGCATGCGGCTGCCCGCCGCGGGCTGGTGGCGACGGAGGTGCCGCACCTTCATGCCCACATCCTCCAGGATGCCCACCGCGTTGCCGTGGCACTCCCACACCTCATGGTCTCCCCGGGCACGCTCCCTGTCACTGCAGCTCGCAATAAGAGGCGCGGGCAGGCAAGGAAAGAGAGAGGGGCGGTTGGCGGCGGCGTGCCCACGCCGTGCGTTGCATGTCCCCCAGCCTACTGCCGCGTTTACTGTCTGTGCTGCAGGCGTAAGCTTCCCTGCAGCCTGTCAGCCACGGCAGGCAATGAAGCGCAGCTCCAGGCAGCCTGCCCAGAGGCGGTCGCCTGCTGCAAGGGCGGCGGCGGGCCGCACCTGAGCGGCCTGAACCTCACGGCCACATACACTTTGTTCTTCTGCGTGCCGTTTATGCCATCGTACATAGCCAGGGGGGCCTGGGACTCCGCCATGGTGCTGCTTTTGCCCGCGGCTGGTGCCCCTGCTGCCAACCACCGGTTGCCCAGGTGCCCGGCACTGCTGGCTGTCCTCCAGATCCTTCCACGGTCTATTACGGGTCGGCAGGGACCTCCGCCAAGCCGCAGGCGCCCAGGCAGGCGCGAACAACTACGCGGCGCGTGCTCTCGTCCCCTCCAGCGCCCCTGTACAGATATGTGGGGAGGGGGATACTGCTGGAGCACTTCTGGAACGGCCGGAGCCCTTGCAAGCACCCCAGAGACCCGCTTTAGCGCCTCCGCAGTACAGTTTCCCCCCCGCCACATCCCCTGTTTTGGGCCCTCATGCACTGTGCAAGACCCCTGTCCAGTGTCCTGTACGCCTGAGCGCTGCTCCGAGCGGCAGGCAGGGCAGTTCAGCTCCTGCGAGTGTGCGGCTGGCGGCTGAGGCACTGCAGCTGTGCAGGGAAACAGGCGGCACGCTTGTGTTGGGGTAGAACAGCATGGATCCCACAACAGAGCGCAAGTATGTGCGCCAAATCGTGCGGCAGGTGCACCCCGACCTCTTCTCCGCCTATCCCTATGAGCGGGCCAAGAACTCGGAGGCGCTGAAGGTGGGCACACCTTCCAGAAGGCGGTAGAGCCACACGCAGGCGGCGGTGGGGGCCGGGCAACACATGCGACGGCGGCGGGAGACCCACACACCCTGCTGGGGCGGCGGCAAACACACCAGCCGCATGCAGCCCAGCCTGCCGTGGCCTCCTCGTCATCACAGGCCTCCCATGCCCTCAGCCTGCCTGCCTGACACTGACAGCACTGCTCCCCACCCACCCCCGCAGGCCCTCAACGTATATGCCGACCAGCTGTCGCAGGGGCTGCGCCCGCAGGCGGCGAAGCTCACCTTTTTCGTGCGGCAGGAGTCGGAGGACGAAGCCCTGGGCCAGGTGAGGCGGCAGTGGGGCGTGGCGGCCGCACCGGGGGACCGCCTTTGCGCAGCGGGCAGCCCAGCAGCCGCGGGTACACAGGTGCCATCGGCCGGGGCCGGCGGCGCACGAGCCAGCCGCCGGCGCCCCCACCGCTGCTGCTGCTGCTGCTGCTGCCGCCCCTGGCTGCGCAGATATCTGCGGAGCTGCCCTCCTACGGCTCCCTGGGTCCCCTCTTCTTCGCCTTCGGCCTGATCAGCGAGGAGGAGCTGAAGCAGGGCGCCGGCGCAGTCAGCAGTGCGTGGGAAGGGGCGGCGGCGACGCGCTTGGCGCTGCCGTGCCGTGCCGTGCCGTGCTCGCCCCTGCCTCCCTGCCTGCTCCTGTGCCCCCCATGGGGACCACCGCACGCAACCCGCGCGTCTGCCTGCCGCCGTGCCTTGCACTTGTGCTGGTGGCGTCCCCCCCCACACCACACACACACACACCACACCACCCCGCAGGCGCCGACGACCGCGACCTGGCCGCCTGGCTGCGCGAGACTGTGGACGAGGCTGTGCGCACCGCGGA